TGCCCGCCGCCGCACTGTGGGGGGCGAGCCCGTCCCGTCCCGTCCCGTCCCATCCCGTTCTTTGGTCCCCAGAGGTTGGTAGCTTTGTTCTGTACTGTTATGACGGCGAGCGGGGGGTGGAGGAAGGGTATGGTTTTGAAAGAGCATCGGTATCGGCAGTAATGATCGTTGTTTCGTTTAGGCCTCAGGTCTGGCAAACTCGGGGAGCAGTGTGAAGCCGTCGTTCGTTTTCCCAGGCTTTTCCAGAAATATCCTTTCCCTATTCTCATTAATTCAGCTTTCCTAAAGTTAGCTGATGTTTTCAGAGTGGGGTAAGTAGCATCAGTCAGTTTCTATCCATTCAAATCTCTGATCCGTAGTAACACACTGTATCTTGGCCTGTTGCTGCATTGGAGCCTGGGAAGCTGTAGGGTTTTTCTGCCTGCCTGATAATACCACAGTGGTACCTACTCTCTAGAGGATGAGTTGTGCTTGACTGAAGCTTGCTTTCCCTGTCTTTAGTGGACTTAAGTGGCTCTCAGTGATCAGTGATGCAGTTCCTTTATGTCCTGATCTGAGGATTCCTTTGCTAACTGGTTTAAATTCACTGGTGCAAATTCTGCTCCATAGGCACATTCAAATTTGTAATTAATAAACAGATGAATATGTGCAAATTCCATCTCTAAGGAACGTTAATAACAAAGCCCAAAGTATAGCTTTTCCAAGTGTCTGATGTCTAAACGATGCATGTGATGGAATGGGAGCTACTTTGTAATAGCTTACAGTTATCTGTTGCTGTGGTGGACTCTTCACTATTGGGCCTAGGAAGGAACAGAAACTCAGTCACACCTGGAAATGACAATTAGGCGCTTTTGTCTTAGTACTGGACATGGTTTTCTAGCAGAATTGGATCACTAAGTGTGCACAAAGCAGGCACTCGCTTACACTCCTCACTGGTGTTAACAGATTCATTTCCTTGGAATTGAGCCTAAATTTGATGCTACTTGTACTAGACATAAAACAATAGTGTGTTAATACTCTCTTTCTGACTATATCAGTCTACTTAAATATGTTTCTAAAGCATAGACCTTTCCTGTTTTAATTTACTCTTGGAAGTATTTTTAAATAATCTCGTGTTTGAATTTTTATTATAAAACAGTGCAATAAAGAAATGTCTGTGTTTTCTAATAGAAACAACTTCCTGAGGCTGTGTGTGCTCAAAGTTACTCAACAGAGCGAGAAGCACTTAGAGAAGATCCTGAATGTGGATGAGTTTGTCAAAAGAGTTTTCTCAGTAATTCATAGCAATGATCCAGTTGCTCGGGCTATTACACTTCGGTATGTATTACATAAATTAACCTAATTTACTTCAAATCTAGCTAATTATTAGTATGCTAGTCTGGAATAACAAAATCTGCAATTATTATGAATGAAATGTAGGAGGTGTCTTTTATGTTGGTCATAGTTAAAAGCTAAGACATCTGTCTTTAAAGGAGGTAAATGATAAGGATCTGCAATCAGAAAAGCAAGGTTATTAACCATTTATGATGGCGAGAATTTTGTGGGTGACTGGGCAAAACAGAATTTGCGGCGTTGGGCTTTTGTGTACTCAAGAGAGGAAAAATGAACCTGTTGTATGCAGAACCCAGACAGTAGCTATGTGTCCTGTATTATATGTGCCTATGATATAATTAGACCAAGACCAAAAGGAAATTGCTTCCTTATGTATCAAAATAGTTTTTGTTAATTTATAACCAAAATTCATTTGTATGAACCTTGTTATGCTTGCACCTATTTTTCAGTTATTGTTATCCTAGAAGTTTATTGCTTGTTGGTCTGATCAATAACTTCTGAGGAAGTGCCATTGTATTATTGATTGCTTTGGACTTCCTGGGTATCAAATGGAGGAAAAAAAAAAAAAAAGCTGTCTTTAATATCACTGCCCTGCTGCTTTGGTGTCTGTGTCTCTAACACTATCCAACATGATCATCTTAACTGCTTCTTTCAACTCCTGTGCCAGAGAATTCAAATGTGAGGAGAGTACTCTCTTCTTACTCCTTTTGTATTCTGTCCATCTAGAACTTTACTGATTTTGCTATTGAAAGATGGGTGTCATTAACAGGGGTTTGTTTGATTAGGTCATACATCCATTTCTTCTTTTGATATTTTGTTTGAGGTTATGCTTTCATGCTCTGGTGTCTTAGAAATCTGTAAATACAACTACAGTTATTGACTGATATTGAGGGCTATCTTTACAGACTGTTGGGAGTCCCAGGAATCTGCTCAGTTTAAAAAAAACACTTAAATTACCAATCATTTCACAAGATGCATCAAGTGAAAAGTTAAAATGGCTGTTGGTTCAGCAGTTTTAGATGAAAATCTTTAGTTGATTTGTTTTTGTCCTCCTTAAGTAGTGTCAGTAAGAAAGAACATGCTGAAAGCACTGCTAAAATAAAACTTTGTGGAATTTTATTGCTAGATAACTGTGTAAATATTTGCATAGAACTCTTACTAAAATTACCATCAGTGCAAATCCTGCCTTCATTCTTCTTTTAATTGGATTATCCTAAATATGTCTGAAAAGTATGCTTGAGATATTCTTAGCAAAGTATAGATTGATTTGCTCCTTTCTTAGCAGTTACACAAAAGGGATTCACTATTCCCAGTCATAACCTTATCTTGCATCAGCAAAAGATCTTGGAAACAAATGATGAAAGTCAGATATTTGTTTGCTTGATTGTAGTAGCACTCTAGAAACTTTGCTTTCTTAGCGTGTGGTTAAATTTTATGACTGTTCAGACATTTGACGTAGTTACTTCTGCAGTCTTAATTGGGAAGAGGGCTAGAAATGGTGGAAACAGTTCTCTTAAATGCTTTTTTAAATCTCCCTAGATAACCATATTTCTGAATTTATATCCCATGATGTGTACTTCCTATGTGTCTGAAAATAGCCATCAGTACATTTTAGCATTAAATCTGTTGTTTTTATACCAGAGCTTGAATAAAACGTCTTAAAAGTACTTGTTTCCAGTGCCATAGTGCACTCTTAATTTTATAAGAATTCTTGGTAAGTTTCTCACTCTGCCCATTTCAAGCTAAAAGGTATCAAAATGTAATTAATTTTTTATTTAACCACTGACATAACCCACATGACAAAACTTGTTACCTTTTAGCCTACTTTTAGCATTTGTTTGTTTCTGTAATAGACAGGAAAGAGCACGTGTTTGTATAAAAATAGTATTTTAACCAGTCCTCTTACATTTCTATTTGGTTTCATCTTGTATTTCTTCATGATCATTATTCTTCCTGATTTTGCTGTAATTTATTTCTATAGGATGTTGGGCAGCATGGCATCTATTATTCCAGAAAGGAAGAATGCACATCACAGTATTCGTCAGAGTTTGGATTCCCATGATAACGTGGAAGTTGAAGCTGCTATATTTGCTGCTGCTAACTTTTCTGCACAGTCAAAGTAAGATGTTCTTTGTTTTTTCATATTACAGAGGGTAGAAACTCTATGGACACTGGCATTCACAAACCTTAATATTCCCTTCTGTAGGGCTAACCGTGTCATTTGTAGCGAAACGTTTAATTATGTGCGATAACAGTATTGTAGAAAAACCTGAATACAAGTTTAACAGATTTTTTTTTTCTAAAAGAGTAATGGAAATCTTATAAATATGGGAATGCAAAGTGGAATAGCAGCTTTAATCAAGGATTATTTTATAGAAATTTTATTAGGAAACAAAATGTAGCACTGCTTATCACTTTGAGAAATTTTTGAAAGCTTCCATTTTATCATTTGATCATGCCCATATGCAGGTGTTCTAAAATGACTCAGGTCTTGGCAAGCACTCTTGTGAAAATTTTTATTGTTAAAACACAGCGGTAGTTCCGTTGATTTTTACTTTTTATTATTTATTTTCATTTCACCTGGTACTTTGTTTTTTCTCTACAGGGATTTTGCTGCCGGAATATGTAATAAAATCAGTGAGATGATTCAAGGTACATATGTATATTAAATGATAAAAGGGAAAAGCTCCACTTTCTCTTGAGAATTCTTTATTATATGTATGTAAATATCAGATATCAGAATACTGTTGCTCTTAACCTCAAATGATTCCAGTTTTTAAATTAAATTAGCTAACCAGTAATCTAATGTCCAGCTCTTGTGTCCTCTTAAAATCCAAGTTTTCAAAACACCTGCTGTTAAACACCTCAAAACACCTGCGTAGACTGTCACAGGCTGCTTCAGAGGAGTTAATATCTGTGTTACCTGCCATGAAACAAGGAGCAACCTTCTCAAAGAGCCACGAAAGTGCTTGTTACTGCTGCTGTTATTCTGTTAGCTAGTGGATGGGTTGTTTGAAGCTAATGCAGGTGTCTGCGCAATCTGCATTCAGCAGTGGTAGCAATGCAGATCTGTTGTGTGCCTCAGTACTGCCAAAAGCCAGTACGAAGGTCTGACACTGCCTATGTTTCTCTTCCTTGTTTCAGGTTTGGCCACACCTGTGGACTTGAAATTGAAGTTGATCCCTATTCTGCAGCACATGCATCATGATGCTAGCCTGGCCTCCAGCTCCCGGCAGCTGCTTCAGCAGCTGGTAACATCCTATCCCTCTACCAAGATGGTCATTGTTACTCTGCACACCTTTACACTGCTTGCCGCTTCTTCTTTAGTTGACATTCCTAAACAGGTAATCCTTCCTAATTCATTCCTTCAACTTAAAGTACAAAATACACTTTAAAAAGCCTCAGTTTTTAGCTGATGCTGAAAATAATTCACAATGGATATGCTAGCATGGCAGCTCCTATGTGC